TGTCGAGTGTCCCCCCTCGGTCTGTGTCGAGCCTTGTAGTGTCGAGCCCCGCTTGATCTCTTGGTTTCGATACACGGCACCAACCGCCACTGTCTTATATCTTTGCTGTGTGCGGCCGAGAGGGCCAAACGGGAACGGCATAGGCAATCTCCCTACTATTATTACGCTGTGTCAGCGTGATAATATAAGTAAAGCATCGTCCATCCCCACGAGCGGAGAGAGGTACTCACTTTGCTTGTCTGCATTGTCCTGCTGACGACTCCAACTGCAGTGTGCGCCCCTTTGAGCTATGTAGTGCTGGGCACTGCTCGGTCTTCCCGCTCCTCCGTTGGTGGTGCGCTCAACCTATTCCCTAGGTCTGCTCTTGTGACTGCGATTCACCCCAGTGCCAGCCCTGCTGTGCCTGCGTGGTCCATGGCAACTCCAATGCTTGGGCTGCAGCCCCAAGTGGGGGTGCTAAGCCCGTGTGGCTCACTGGGCATCTCCAAGTATGTTGCGTTTAGTCTGGTAATTTTTGACTCTCCGTTGGTGCTTTGCAGTATCGAGCCCCGCTTGATCTCTTGGTTGAACGAGACTACCGGCTCTGTGACCGAGAGGAGTGGATTGCGATGTCTCGTGTGTTTGCAAGTCATACCGTACATTTGGCTTGCTGGCCTGCCTCATCCAGTGCGGGTTCGGGCGTCAGAGACCTGGGCAGCCATCATCAGGCTGATATGGCTGTTTTGCTGGACAGCAGCTGTTGCTGGCCAACAGCGGATGATGGAGGCCCCGGTGGGCGCGCTGCAGATTGCAGATCTCGTGCGCCACGTTCAGGTTCTCAGCTCCTGTTCCTGGAGCTCGGCGCCGCCCGGACTGCAGGTAGACGATGCCACCATGCCTACCTCGCTGATTGAGACCGATGAGAGTCAGACCGGTGATGTTTTAGGCATCTGCTCCACTCCCCCGGCTGAACGCAAGCGCAAGTTTCAATATCAATGACAGGCTATTTGGGCTGAGTACTGTCTGCGAATGGATGGAGCCGCCAAGCTACTTCATGTACAGGGACGATGGAGGACGTTTGCCTGTGCTGAGTATGGTCCAAGCTTGGTCCTGCCAGCCTTTGAGTGTGCTGGCCAAGGACTCTCTTGGCTTTGGTTGACTTGGTGGAGCGCAACAATATACCAGTCGGGATGCAATGGATGGTCTCCGGGACGCGGTCATGTGTGTATGTGCTTTTCAGTTGGTGTTGAATTCATTAGACTTTTCGATGGTGCTCCCGCCCCTTTGCGCAGATTTTCGGGCTTGGTTGCTTTTCTCTGGTTTGCCCAACTGGGCTTTCATTGTCACACTTTCCGGGTGGGCTGCTTGTCCGCACAATACCGAGACCTTGTTCACCTTTTGGCACCGTTTACGGGACCCACGGCGGCCGGTGGCGAGTCGGTGGTGGGCGCATCGCCTTTGGGCCGCCAATTGCAGCGATGGAGGTGATGGTCGTTTGCAGTGAGTGCTGCCTTTTGGCTGACCCAGGGGTGTGACAATCTTCCTTCTTTCAGTTTATTGTTTGATTATGCTCGAAGTTCTGCACTTCTTGGATGCTTCAGATGATGTACTCATGGGGATTGCCCGTGCATGCCTTCTCCTGGCTAGTCTGTCAGTATTTCCGCATGCTTTGGAGCGCGCTCTGCCCTGCATATGTCTATTTTCTGTCCATGACTTGCCGCTTGCATGTCTTGGTCGCATCTACGAACAAATTTTCTTTTTCCATGGTCGGCTAGACTGTTCATGGAATCTGCCGTGGGATACGGCAACGTGTGCTGCTCTTTCGGGATGCACTGTCCTTTCGAATTTCGGCTACGCGATGACTCTACGTTTTCATAATTCGCGGCTTGCGGTACTCCCCCTCGTTGCATGATCTGTACAGGTTTCGCTTTTCGCTCGTCTTGTCCGTGTTTCCGTTTGTCTTGTTGCTTGCTTGTCTGGTTTGGGTGGTTCTCTCTCTCTGTGATGTTCGAGCCTGGGCACTTTTTGAGGCACACGCACCTCTCGCTATGCCCCTACCTGATCTGTTTTGCTGTTGTTTCATCCTTTTCACACGGAGTTGCTTAATGCAGACGTGCGCTCGACACGGATCGCTGCTAAGGGGCAAAAAAAAAGCGGTTTGGCAGGCTGGCGTTCCAGGACGTGCTGGTTTGAGGTCGCCTGTCAGGCGACTTAGGTGCAACCGCCTTCAGGCTGCCTGCCGACACACTGTAACCTGTTGACAAAGTCTCCAGCTTGCTTCCCGCGCGCAGTTCCGGCGCTCCTCGGTTGGCGCGTACTGCGGCTGTGCGGCAGACGTTTTGCCAAGGTGCGTGTCCCGCTGTTTGCCGAATGCAAGAAGACCTTTTTGTTGCGGAGGAGCTTTGTCAAGTGTTGCGCTACTTGGAATCCTGCTGCCCCGCTGCCGACACCTTCGATGTTCTGCAGCGTGCTGAGGTTCGAGATGAGTGGGACCAGTGGAAAGCACTTGGCCAGATCGTTGTCCGGACTTTCCTTAAGGTGCTTTGGGACTTTTCCACCTGGACTGGCAGGGCCCCCCCTGTTGCACTTCCAAAGGTTTCAGATCAGAGCACAACAGTGCACTGTGATTTCACGCAAACGCAAAGCGTAACCCGCTCTGCAGGCTGGACGTCGATACCAGGCCATTGTTAAGGGAAGCAATATTGAGGCAATATTAAGTTATCTTGAATTGACGGAAGGTCAAGAATGGATCAATTGACAAGGCTTAGCTCTCTCTTTAGACGGAGTTTCCCAAACGGATTCTATTGCACCTGGTAGGCTCCTGACACTCGTCCGTCTGGAAACGACGCCCTGCGAAGGAGTCAAAACCTAAAACGCTGCGTGCAGGCGTGGGCTGCAACAAAACGACCCCTAGATATGCGCCGCATTTTGCCTCCAGGTTGCATTTCAACAAAGGTCAAGCTTTGCCAAAGGAAACCCCTTTTCCTTTTTTTTTGGAACCCCTTTCTTGGGGACCCCTGTTTTTTCCGTTTTTTTCTTAGCCCTGCAAAGATTGGCTTGCTTGAAATGCAACCTGGAGGCAAATTGCAAGCATATCTAGCGTTTTAGGTTTTGAATCCTTCGCAGGATAAGGTCGTTTCCTGGACGGACAAGTGTCAGGAGCCTACAAGGTGCAATGGAATTCGTTTGGGAAACTCCCTCTAAAGAGAGAGGCTGGAGGACATCACTGCTGTGCTTCCGTGTCAGCCACGACAGTGATGGACAACATGGGTCTGGAAATCTGTTGACAGTGCTCAAGACAAGAACGTGCAACTTTACGGCGGCCCACCACCTTGGTTGACATAAACTTCGCTGATTGTAGCGCGCAGTTTCCTTCTTGCAAGATTCCTGTGTTCCTTGAACGTTTCGCCGTTAACGGTTATTGTGTGGTTCTTGCAACTGCAACTTTTTAAGCGTGGCCTGGCGCGACCGCTCGAAATGTGCGCTCACTTGCTGCGCACGCGCAATTTGTAACTTGAGTGTGTGTTAGTGCTGTTGCTGGTTGTTTGTTGTTTCTGGTTTTGTGGTTGGTTTGTTTGTTTCTTAGGGTTTAGGGTGTGTGTGTTTTTTGTTTGTTTTTTGTTTCTTTGTTTGTTGGTTTGTTTGTTTCTTAGGGTATAGGGTGTTTGTTTATTTCTTTGTTTGTTGTTTGTGGTTTGTTGTTTGTTGCTACTTGTTTGTGGCCTGTGGCTTGTTGATTGTTGTTTGTTGTTGCTTCCGTGCGCTGCGGGCAAGCTTGAAGCTCGGAAAATTGTTGCGGGCTTGCGACCGCCCGTGTAAAAACCCATTACGTGGATCACGAGTTGCGAGTGAAATCACATTGAAATATGTATGGAAAAATCACACGGTTTACTGCAAAATGAAACAAATTTGGTGGCCTTGCCAAACCTGGTTCGTAATTTTCATTTACTCCCGGGAGTAATTTTCATTTACTCCCTGGCGTAATTTTCATTTACTCCCCGGGCGCGGGAGTATTTTATTCCTGAAAAAAGGAGTAAATCGCAAAAAAGGGGTTTGTTTTAAAAAGAGTATTTGTTGAGATGGATCTATGAGGCGGCCGTGGCCAGAGGCGCGATTGCGTTGCTGTCCAGCTTCGACGCCTCCTGGGCGGTGACCTGGTCGTCCAGTTCGAGGTTCCTCGGCGTCCAGCTCCCATGGGCGCTTTAAATGAAAAACAAAGTTTTTTGGTCCGCGAAGCATGGCCTGTCTGACGTGTCTGAGACTGGCTTCAGGCCTAGCCCAGCAAACCCAGCTCAACCCACAGAGGCTACCCATTCAAGCAGCAACCAGCAACCCGCCACAGACATTCCATGGGCCGCTTTTTGCGCAAATGCGCAACAACTTGCAGAACGCTAAAAACCACTCACTGCCTGGGTTCATGAACTTTAATTTTTTTTTGGGAAGACCATTTTAGCGGTAAATATACAGTTTGGACTTTTTTTGGGGCCATCCACGCAGCCAGTGAGACCAGTTTTTGGTCCGAAAAGCATGACCTCCTGCTGGCCAGGCTATCTGACGTGTCTGGGACTGGCCTCAGGCCTAGCCCCAGCAAGCCCGCCCAACCAGCAACCCACAGAGGTTACCCATGCCAGCACCCCGCCACACATTTTTTTTGACCTGCCAAGTTTGACTCTGAGCGCCCTTGGGATTTTGTCGCCTTTACAGCGCATTGGCCAAAAACGGACCATGGAGCTGAACGCCGAGGAACTTCGAAAATTTCAAATCCAGCCGGACAGGATCTTAGGGCCAGCAGACATGTTGGGAAGGGGAAAAGCGACGATTCCCTTTGGGAAACGAGATTTGAGCGCCCTTGGCCCCCTAGCATTCAACTTGGGATGTTGTGATTGGTGCTGTGGTTTGGTCCGGTATATTTTTGAGGCATAAAATACGTGCTGTCCCGGGACCGCAAAGGGGATGATCAGGCAAAATCAGCCCATTACTTTTTCAAGCTCACGTTTACATGTGAGAATCATTCGGCGTGCAGCCAATCAGTGGCTGTGGAGAGGGGGAGCGTTAAACCGGGCACGCCATGGCGAGAGTGTTCGATGCTGCAATTGTTGCGGCTCGGACAAGCTGATGGCGTATCGATTTTCAGAAGTGCAGCAGCCAGTCGATCAGCTTGCGTCCTTAAATCCTTGCATCGGCGTCTGAGCTCTCAGGGAAGCTTTCAGCAAGGCGTCGCTGGTACTGTCAAAGTTTATTTCCTGATTGGTTCACGGACTCGGTTTCTGAGCCCTGAGGAAATCCTCGCGAAGAGGAAATTCGGCGGCTGCGCACTACCAAGGACGTGTTGGCATATTTTCTGGCTCAGCGGGACAAGCTGATACCCGCAGATGTGTGCTGCATCCTTGAGGCATTGTGGTCCAGGTCCCAGGAGCACGAAGACATCAAGGCCAGCTTCCTCGTTTTGGGATTCCCCCCAACGCAGATTTTGGCCTCCAGCGGTGGGTTGCTTTTCTTTGGGGACATCTTTGGGGTAAATCAACAAGGGGAACTCCGTCAAGGCGGCCAAGAAACAACTTTTCAACGATGCCGACTTCATGGCCATCATGAAAGATGTGCTCTTCAAGCTGGACCGATACTCGGCACCCGAGCTGCCGCGCCTGCTGGGGGCGCTGTTCGACATGCGTTGGAACGACCGGCAGCTCTTCAAGATTGTGGAACCCATGGTGATCCAGCATCTCAGCATGGTTGGCCTGTGGCCTGCAGTGCTCCATTCTTCATTGTTTCCAAAATCGTTTTTCTTTCACAGTAAGTGACTTTGGGTCATTCCCAAACAGTTGCGACGTGCTTTCTGAGTCACTCGTCTCCAGGCACTTGCCATCCATGGATTGTGGGAGCCTGCCTTTGGTGGCACACAGCTTCGTTGGCATCCGCTGTGGCAGCCGCTTGCTCTTCAACGAGTTGGTGCATCGCTGCTTCCAATCGGAGCATTTTACGCCTGAGGGCGTGGCCTCCCTGACAGCGGCCTTCGCCAAGGCCCCGCACAAACCCAAGACCTTCCTGATCGGCTTTGCCCCGGTGGTGTCGCAGCACCTGCCATCCTTTACTGCTGACCAGCTGCAAAGAGTCTTGCTGGCATATTCAGAATGGCCGGCCGAAATTCCTGCAGAGTTCATGGAGCAACTCGCGCATTTCCTGGTGCAAGACAATGCGCAGATGATTCGGACAGGCTTGCCTGCACAACAATTGGTGACGATCCTGCGTTTTCTGGCTCTTTGGAGTGCACGGGCAAAGGCAGCTAGGGAAGACCCAGGAGCGAGGCGAGCATTTGAGCCCATCTACATTCTCTGCGCGAAAACGCTGGTTGCTGCATGTGATGAGCTTACAACTGAAGAGTCATCTCAAGCCATGTGGGCCTATTGTAAAATGAAACTTGTTCCCAAGGTTCTTTTTCAGAGACTGTACAGCAACATATTGCCATCCTTCCAACAACTCTCCTTGCCCAGCTTGGCTCCCTGTCTGCTAAACACAGCACGAGCTGCCTCTGGCCAAATGCAGTTTTGGGATGATGCACATCCCACCGAAGCGATCACGACGAGAGATTTGCCACGGGACTACACTTTGTTCGAAGACCGGCGTTTGCTTTTGGCTGCGGAGACCCACATTGTGAGGTGTATGGGGGACATCGCTCCACGTGATCTCACAGCTGTAGTGCAGGCCTACAGCCTGGCCCACGTGGGGTCTCCGGGCCTGTTCTCGGTGCTGCAGAGGGCGGCGATGGAGCAATGCCGGCAGCTCCCAGCGGAGCAGCTCAGCTCCCAGCTGAGCAGCTTTGCCATGCTGCGGCTGGGGCCCTCCTTCGCCCGGGAGGCCCAGATCGACATCCTGGACCGCCTGGCCCAGCTCCCAGTGACTGCGGTCTGCGACATTTTGTGGGCCTTCTGCGTGCTGCGGCACCGTGACCCCCATTTCTTCAAGGCGCTGCTGGGCATTTTGTCCCCCGGGTCTGTGGCAAACCGGCGCTGCGCCTGGCTATGCCCCGCTCTGCTGGAGATTAGGACTCACTTCCCGGATATGGACCCGGAGGGTTTGGACCGGTACATGGGCTACGTGCAGCCGGACTTCCGGCACGTGCAGCTACGGCAAGCAGCCCCGGAGTCAGCCCGCAAGTCTTTGCGGAGCTGCCTGGAACAAGCTGGACTCCAGTGCACTGAGTTGGTGGAGGTTGACGGCTACATAGTGGACGTGCTGGTGGAAAGTGGAGATTTGGAGAAGCCGGTGGCCATACAATACCATTCAGCACCCCGCACGCTACATTTGTCTACTGGAGAGCCATTGGGCGGGACCATGATGAAGCAGATGCTTGCACGTGAAATCTCTTCGTTGGGGGGATGGATATTGTGTTGCATTTAAGTCTATGGCTTGCAAACAGACGAACACCATTGCTGCCTGCTTGAGAAGGGTAACCAAGACACCAAGACCATCGAGTGTTGAAGCTTGAGGCAATCCCTCGTAAACCTTATGCAGCACGCTTTCCCATTCGTTGTTGTGTTTTTTGGGAACCGGGGGAGAAAGGGTGGGGGGGTTGCCGGATGACCGTATGGCTTCATGCGAGGCGGTATTTGCGCGCCCGCGGATTTTGCGTGGTGAACATTTTGGACAAGTCCTGGGAAGAACTGGACGAGCGAGCGGAGGATCTCTTGCAGCAGGTTCGGCAGGCTCAGAAGCAGCCAACTGGAAGGAGTTTTGTTGGCCCGGCAGCAAAAGGCCGCAAGTGCTTTGGCTTCTTTTTTTGATTGGGAGGGGGGGAAGAGTGGTGGAGCAGTGTGCACTTTGCGCAATTTGCAGCTTAGCACTCAAGCAGAAGAAAGCAAGATCAACAGTGAATTCTTCAAAGTCAATTGTGAACTGTAGCATTATTCATGCTTTCGCATTTCCGCCACATGTTGCAAGATGATGCAGACGCGATGGTCAGTCGCAAGTACCTTGCCATCCTGCAGGCATGAGCTTGGGGAGCGAGTGCCGTCTTTTTCAGTGCACCCTTTGTGGGTTGGTTAGAAGGGAAGTCAAAGTGAAATACTCAGTTGCCTTTAGAGACGCGTGCGGCATGCAGTGGTCTGCCAGGACTTGGCAATGCGGTGCCAAAGTAGCGCTGAAGCCCCTCCAGTTGCAGCCAAAGCTTTCAATGACGGCAGCTGCAGCTGCAATGGCAACACCTGCATGCTTGGCGGGCGCCGGTTTGACGAGACCCTCCCCGGCTCCCCCCTTGGGCAGGTCCCTTTGTGCAGCGATAAGATTTGGAGCCGGTCAAGACGGCGGAGCTCCAGGTCTCCCTTGGCAAGGAGTGTATCGTGGAGTAAGCTTGAAACTTTCACATGCCCATTCTCCAGGAGAGTACTTCTCCAACATCGCGGAGCCTTTTGTCTTCGCGGGCAGCAAAGCAGGACCGATCGAAGCCCCGCGGCACTGCATGGCCCTGTCCTGCCTAGAAGTTCTGCTGGCACCAAGTTGGCCCGCCTTTGCGCTGAACAAAAATGGCATTTGAACCATTTGGCCTTTTTAGCATGACAGCGCACTTTTTTCCATCAGCGGCTGCTCGTGCGGGTTGGTGGCCACAGGGTGCTGCAAGACACGTAGGAAGTACTTGGGAGCCACTCATGATGGCCACGTTATTCATGCTGACCTTCCAACTGCCGTCGCCTCAGAACGCGTGCGTCAGACGGGTTTTGTGTGTATCACAATGGCTTGTCCCATGCGATGCCGAGGATTTCCACTTCTTTGTTCTTATTCCTGGACAGGATGCTTTCACAGGCTTTGTTAAGCTGTGCGCCAAGTGAAACGGTTTAGCATATTACTTGATCACAAGACTGGACAGGTACCACTTGGCTTCCGACCGCAGCATTTTCGCGCACATCTTAGCTGTGCTGATGCTCGCTATTGTTTCATGTTTATGTTTGTGCCGACTTTTGCAGAGGGCCACAGTGCTTGCAGCTGCCAATTCGCATCCTTACTTGTTCTAGTCCTTCTGAACTTGGCATGCTTGCTTCCGGCGCTTTTTGATGTGTTTAGAGCGTCACACAACAACAACTAGCACACCCGGAGTTGTATCTTTTTGAGCTTCCAGCCTCTTCCATTTCCAGAAACGGGCACAGACGAGGTGACGCAGGATGGCCTACTTGGGTGCTACCATGGGGACTTCGAGGCCTCCAAAGCCGGTTGAAGGGCTTCCAAGACTTGACAATGTGGGAGCGACCCGAGCAAACGTCAAGCGATTCATCGGCATGTGCAACATGTCAAGTTTCAAAGGGGGTGACAATAGAAATCCACACAGCAAACTAAACTAGTGAGCCTCCGGCTCACTCCGCCGACATTGCCCTCTCCCTTTTGTCCTTTTTCCTCTCCTTTTTCCATTCCCCACTTTGTTCCCTCCTCTTCTCTCTCCCCCTCTCTCTCTGTCTCTGCCTCCTCTCTATGCCCCCCTCTCTTTGCCTCTCTCTTTCTCTACCTCCTCTCCTTTCTCTGCCTTTTCCCCGGCCCGTTGCTGCCTCTCTCTCTCTGTCTACGCCCCTCACTTTCCCCCCCCCTTCCTCTCTCTGCCACTCTCTCTCTCTCTCTCTCTCTCTCTCTCTCTCTGTCTCCTCTCTCTCTCTCTCTCTCTCTCTCTCTCTCTTTCTCTCTCCATCTCTCTCTCTCTCTCTTTCTCTCTTTCTTTCTCTCTCTCTCTCTCTCTCTCCCTCTCTCGCTCTCCCCCTCTCATCCTCTCCTCGCCCCCCGCCCCCCGCCCCCCCGTCCTCCCGGTCTCCCCCCCCCCCCCCAAACCCTAGCCATCTTCCTTTCATTTCTGCGTCAGTTCCCACGCATGTCCCCGTCAGTTCCAATCATTTCCCTATAGCTCCCTTCGTTTCCGTTCATTTCTCCTTCATTGGCTTTAATCATTGCTCTTCAATCCCCGTTCATTCCCCCTTTCTTGCTGGTTCGTTTCCCCTGCAGGTCCCTGGCATTTACCGTTAGCGTCATTCCCCTCAAGTTGCCTCGATTTAGGTGCACTTCCCCTTCATGACCCCTGTAGTGTCTCCGTACCAGCGCCTTTCGTCTTGATTTCCCCTTCATTTCCTTTTCATGTCGCATCATTTCCTATCATTTTCTCGTCATGTCCCCTTCCTTTACCTTCAATTCCACCTTCATTTCCCTGTCATTTTCTCAGTATGTCCGCTTCATTTTCCATGTATGTCCCCTTCATTGCCAGTCATTTCCCTACCTCTCCCTTCGCTCCCTTTGATGACCTCGTCACTGTCTTTCATTTCCCCTTGTTTCCCCTTCATTCCCCCTTCACTTCCGGCATTTCTAATTCTTTTCCCCTTCATTTCCCTTTCAGTTCCCCTTGATTTTCTGTCATTTCCACTTCCTGTCCCCTGCATGTCCTTGCAGTTATTTGTTCCGGAGATTCGAACCTGGTGGAAAAGAAAGGCCCGCTCAGGAGTTTCCCCCTCATGTCCCCTTCATGTCCTCTTCATGTTCCCTGCACTTCCCTTGCATGTCCTCTTCCTGTTCCTTCCATGCATTTGCCTCGAACCCCCATCACTCCCCCTGGAGTCATTTCATGTTGGTGTCATGCCCCCTTTCACTTCCCTGTACGGTTCTGCAGTTCCGCACCTTTACTTCCCTTCATTTCCGATTCATTTCCCTTCCGTCCCCCTCAGCTTCATTCCTGTTTGTTTCCGCGTCACTTCCCACTTCCCCTTTTCATGTCGGTGCCCATCCAAAGTAGCCCAGAACAAATACAAACAAACAAACAAACAAACAAACAAACAAACAAACAATCAAACAAACAATCAAACACACAAACACACAAACACACAAACACACAAACACACAAACACACAAACACACAAACACACAAACACACAAACACACAAACACACAACCACACAACCAGACAAACAGACAAACACACAATCACACAACCACACAACCACACAAACACACAAACACACAAACACACAAACACACAAAAACACACAAACATACAAACACACAAACACACACACAAACACACACACACACACAAACACACACACACAAACACACACACACACACAAACACACACACACACAAGCACACACACAAACACACAAACACACAAACACACACACACACACACAAAAACACACACAAACACACACACACACACAAAAACACACAAACACGCACAAACACACACACACACAAACACACACAAGCACACACAAACACACACACACAAACACACAAACACACAAACACACAAACACACAAACACACAAGCACACAAACACACAAACACGGAATCACACAAACACACAAACACAGAAACACACACACACAAACACACACGATCACACACACACACACAACCGCACACAAACACACACAAACACATAAACACACACACAAACACACACACAAAACACAAAAACACACAAGCACACAAACACACAAACACACAAACACACAAACACACAAACACGGAAACACACAAACACACAAACACAGAAACACACAAACACACAAACACACAAACACACAAACACACAAACGCACAACCAGACAAACAGACAACAAACAACCACACAACCACACAACCACACAAACACACAAACACACAAACACACAAACACACAAACGCACAAACACACAAACACACAAACACACACACACACTAACACACACACACAAACACACACACAAACACACACACACAAACACACACGAACACACACACACAAACACAGACAAACACACACACAAACACACACTAACACATAAGCACAAACACACACACAAACACACACACACACACAAACACATAAACACACAAAAACACAAAAACACAAACAAAACACACAAACACACACACACACAAAAACGCACACACACACAAACACACACACACACACAGAACACACAAACACGCACAAACACACACACACAAACACACAAACACACAAACACACAAACACACAAACAAACACACACACAAACACACACAAACACACACACAAACACACACACAAGCACAAACACACACACAAACACACACACACACAAACACACACACACACACAAACACACACACACACACAAACACAAACACACACACACAAACACACAAACACACAAACACACAAACACACAAACACACAAACACACAAACACACAAACACACAAACACACAAACAAACCACACAACCACACAATAACACACAAACAAACAAACAAACACACAAACACACACAAACACACAAACACACGCAAACACACACAAACACACACACAAAACACACAAACACACAAACACACAAACACACAAGCAGACAAACAGACAAACACACAAACACACACACACACACAAACACACACACAAACACACACAAACACACACACACAAACACACAAACACACAAACACACAAACACACAAGCACAAACACATACACACACACAGACCCACAGACCCACAGACGCACAGACCCACAAACTCGGCGACCCACAGACCCACAGACCCACAGACCCACAGACCCACAGGCGCGCACGCTCGCACACGCTCACGCACGCGCACGCGCACGCACACGCACACGCACAAGCACACGCACACGCACACGCACACGCACACCCACACCCACACCCACACCCACACCCACACACACACACACACGCACACACACGCACTGTCGTTTTCAACGTTTCCGGAAAAGGAGGTCAATCAACAATTGTTTTTCTAGTCTTTTTTTTTTCTCCCCGGAATGGGACCTCTGTT